GTTAGGCTTTCTGTTATTTTTTTTATAGTGACTCTTGACAAATTTCATTTTGTAGCAGCGGTGGGAAATGATGCTATTTGAATTAAAATAGTTGCAAACCCCTGTTCTATAACCCGAAATAGAAAAAAAACACACATAACAATAAGCTAATATAGTTGCATTTTTTACATAAATTCTTAAATTAACAATAAAGGTTTTACAGACAAACATAACAGCATAACCAACAAAGACCAGTAACCCTGAAACCTAGGGAGAGATGATCCGCATCTCATCTAAGTAGTTTTTTCTTCTCGAGAAAGAAATTATTTATATTGTTCATGTATTTTTATTACACTTTATTCTTTTTCTTTCATTCTATTAATTTGCCTCATCCCTCATGAAAAACTGTAAACAGAAACTACAGATGAAGCACCAACCAGTAAAAGCATGTTTACAACCAGGAAAGTTTGACTGCTAAGAGCTGCTTATATTATAATTATATTTATTTATTTTTTTATTGTTTACACACGTTATCATCAAAACATGTTGATATCTGCCAGAAATAACCTAACTGAAACAAATGAACCATGTAGCTTAGAAAGGAGGATTTAAATTATAACAATTTAAGAAAAAAATAAGAGAATATTTTTAACTTTTTGTAGAAAATGCAGCTGACCCGTAAAGCCTGAACCTGATACCATGATCCAATGTTTACACTGGAAATAATGGGATTCTAGATAAGTCATTTTTTCTTAAAATAAGTGCATTTGTTCTTGGACTGAGGAGGTAAACGAGAAAATAAGAAAACACAATTGTACTGTCTTACTTGAAGCGCATGTTATCAAATTATCTTATTTTAAAAGTAAAAATACTGATTCCATTGGCAAATCATCTCATTTACCTGCTCAAACTATGGGTAAATACACTTAATTTTAGACATTTTTACTTATTTCTAGAACGTTTTTCCAGTGTAGAAAATCAAATACACTCGAAACAGCCACTAAAATCTATTGGAGGTGGCAAAAATAAATAAATAAATAGATGAATTTTTGTATATGGCGCTTTTAACCTTTCTGCACCCCCTTTAAAAATAATTGTTATGATGTTATGGAAAAAAGAACTAAACTATTAATTTTATAACTTATACAAAAATAGTCTAACATGTATTCGTTTCTCAAGAAAAAAAAAACAAACAAACAAACAAAAAAAGCAATTATTATTAGAAAGGTGCAACGACATGCATATTTAAATGTGTGTATCCTTAAAATGAACACATCCAGTCCTCTTAACACTCATATTATCAGTTTAATCTGGTTAATCTGAGATGCTATTAACAAGATTTTATCCAAATGTTCCAAGTTACAAAGGATTAAAACTAGTTTTACTAGAAAAAAAACACCAAAAAAACAAACAAAACAAAAACAAAAAACCTTCAGGAAAAGAAGATGTAACGTTTAACATTAACAACATGATTCAGTCTTATGTAGCTGGGTTATTACTTCCTTATGTGTTCTTCAAGCATTTATGCGTTCAATTGTACAGCAGGTTTTCAAGGTTATATGTGTAGAAAATGGTATGTTTTCATTATCTGCATCGAATTAAATCTTGGATACCAGGAAGGTGTTCGTGTTTAAGAACCTTGGTAAAACAGTATAGAAAAGAATAGAATTTATTAGAATAGAATAGAATAGAATAGAATAGAATAGAATAGAATAGAATAGAAAATCAGTAACTGTCTCAGTGGAGGATTTTAGGTGAATGATCCGTGGAAAAGTTTATAAATACAGCAGGGTTAGGGAAATACGCACACATGTGGCTGACTTTAAAGTTGGCAAAATCCACATTTCTGTCTTTATTGTGTTATTCAAAATACAATCTGTTGGCCTTTCCATTCAAAGAAGACTCCCACATTGTGTGCACTTCCCTCTGAAAGTGAGGGGATAACAAGGGATGATCGGATCAGGGCACCCTGCAGAGATTAAGTGGCTTTTCGGGAAACAAGACTTCCGTTTGAAATAAAAGAACAGAGAGATTAGTGGAGGTCCAGAGATCATGGCGGGGAGAAGGGGAACATTTACTGAACAGCTGCAGAGATAAAAATGAATCATACACTTTACATTTCATCTGTGAACATACTGCTAAAGTGGAGCGTGAGTCCTGGCGCGAGCCTGCATGCTGGAGACACGCGCTCCCGCCCAATAGATAAACCTCAAAGCGCGCTCGCGCATCAACGCGTGGAAACTAATTGGTTTAAAATGTGCTCTTTGTTAGCGGAGAAATGAAGCGTCTACTTCCAATATCGGGGCTGCTCGACTGTGTCGCAAAAACAATCACGATGAAGGAAAAAAAAAAAGGGACCAAACCAGAGAAGTGACCAACTGGCTCGGTTTTAGTGGAGACTATATTGTGGAAAGTTTAAAGAAGAGCAGCACACTTAACACCCAGGTGGAACAATCCTCTTCACACCACAGAAAGACACGTTTCATTCCTACCTTTCGCTACACGAGTCTGTTTATTGAAGTCAGGCATCTACATTCATCTTCATCAAAATCAGATTTCTTTATTTATTCTCATAAACATCCAACCCAGAACCAGTATTTCAGCCTTTTTACTCTTTCTATGCTCTTTATAGGCTTTTGTTTCTATTTTAAAAAGTAAAGGAGCCTACTGCTGTCTCACACATCATAAAAAGTCTCAATAGCTGATGGTTTTCTCACTTTGATTCTGTTCCCACGAGTAGAAAAACGGGTTCCCATGGTCTCACTTCTTCACCCAGTCCACAGGGAAGTGCTAAAAGAAACCAGAAGGATCTGTGATCAGTTATCAAACAAGTGTTTATTAATGCCTACCTACATTTAACACACAAAAACTGAAGTCTACTGTTGAAAAAGGAAAAGTCTTTTGTAACCATGATGGCAATTTATTGTTTCTACCTCCGACTTTGTAATAAAAACATTTATTAAATACAAGTGATTATTAGTATCTATCTATCTATCTATCTATCTATCTATCTATCTATCTATCTATCTATCTATCTATCTATCTATCTATCTATCTATCTATCTA